TCCGTTGCGCCAACAGTCCCCCTGGACGCCCGTTCACTTTGATCGGCTTGCGTCGGCTCTGGCCAGGCACCCTGACCGCGCATTCGTTAACTCCCTTATGCATGACATGCGTGACGGTGTTGTAATCGGTTACTCGGGTGATCGCTCTCATTTTATTGCTCCCAATTTAGTCTAATGAATGCACCGAGGGTCGTATGGCTGGCCCACACCCATTTACCTCATGCAGATCTGCGCTGCTCTGGTGTAGGTGTGGTCCCCAAGAAGTCGGGAAAACTTCGCTTGATTATGCATTTATCTGCACCTGAGGGCACTAGCATTACTGACGGTATCAGGCAAGATGAATTTTCGCTGCACTTAATGACTGTTGAATATGCGGTTCGGCTGCTGCACCGGCATGGCAAGGGGGCCCTGTTATCCTAAGTCGAGCTACGCAATGCATTCCGACTATGTCCCGTGGCCCCATTGGGCTGGCCATTGCTGGGCATTCACTGGGACAACGCATTCTACGTTGACAAATTCCTCCCCTTTGGCCTGCAGTCCTCTCCATTTTTGTATAACAGGCTTGCCGATGCCCTTTGCTGGGTAGCCACGAATAGATTCAATGTGCATGACCTGCTGCACTACCTCGATGATGTCCTCACAGTTCAACCTCCAGAGCCGCCAAACTATGCTCGTCAGCAGTTTCACACGTTACTAGCAGTCATGGAGCACCTGCATGTCCCGTTAGCCGAGGGCCCTGACTGACAAGGTGTGCCCGCCGTCCACAATTGTCACATTTTTGGGCATAGAGTTAGTTTCCCAAGCATGGGAGATGCGACTGCCAGCCTCAAATCTGTCAGAACTAAAGAACACCCTTGACTCCTGGGTACACTGAGTACAGTGCACCAAACGGGAATTGCTCTCGTTGGCAGGCTCTTTGTCATTTGCTGACAAAATAGTACCGCCCGGGCGCACTTTTTGCCGCCGGCTCTTCGACGAGGCCAGCCAGTTCATGTCTCTTGACAGGACCCAGCGCCGGAACCAAGAGGCTCCAAACGATATAACCCTGGTGGCACGCTTGCATTGATTCATGGAACGGCCGGTCATTACTGCTAGACCCATCCTGGTGCAAACCCACTGAGATGCAGCTGTTCACGGATGCTTCTGACCATGGCTATGGCTTGGTCTGTAGCAAAGAATGGGCGTATGGCCAGTGGGAGGCACTCCACAAGGATCTGTCCTTAGAATGGCGCGAATTGTTTCCCGTCGCCCTTATCTGTGTGACGCTAGGCAAACGACTGTGCAATCGTCGACTATTAGTTCAATGTGATAACGAAATGGTCTGCACAATCTGGCGCACAGGAATCTCAAGGTGCCCAGAAATCATGGCACTTGTCAGGATTGCGTTGCTAGCGGCTGCCAAGCATGACATGGTTGTGTTTTTAGCACACATACGTGGTGTTGACAACGTTCTTGCTGACCGTTTGTCCCGGCTGCAGGTCCAGAGCTTCCGGAAGCTACATCCCCAGGCGTCTCCTGTCCCCATGTCGCTAGAAGTCCAGCAGCTGACACGCCTACTGACCACACCATGGGCCTTATCCTTGCGGGAGTGACAACAAGTACCGCCCGGCCGTATGCTGCCGGCGTGACAGCATACGAGAGGTACGCCAGCCTGCACCGTGTCGCGCCATACCCCATTCAGGCCACCCGCCTAATGGATTTCCTAGCATACATGCCATCCGAGTGCCGGCTGGAAACTATCAAGGTCTACCTCCATGGCCTCCGGCATTACTTCGTGGTCAACCACCTGTCGTTGTCCCCGTTCCAGGAGGGGCAACTGGACCTGCTGCTCCAGGGTATCGCCCGCAACTAGTGCAACACCTCCATGCAATCCAGGGCTTCCTGTCGCACTCCGGTCTATCACCAGCCGACCAAGCCATGCTCTGGAGCGCTATCACACTCACTACTACGCATTCATGCGAGACAGCGAGTACGCATCTACCCACCCGCAGAAGATGTTGACGCAGGAACGCGTCTGCATCCGGGAAAACGCAGTGAGGCTGGCTGTCCCATTCTCCAAAACAGTGCAACTGGGAGAGGGCAGCAATGTGACGGTCGGCGCCACCAACAATAACACCTGCCCGGTAGCCGCATTGGGGAAGTACGCACAGCTGCGCCCCCAAGTACTGGGAGCCTATTTCCGCTACCAGTCTCGCCAGCCGCTTCGCCCCTCGGACATGAACGACTTACTCCGCCGAGCTCTCCCTAGCCAGAAGATCTCCAGCCATAGCCTGCATATCGGTGCAGTAAATGCCGCCGGAAGGAATGACCTGCCACCTTACGTCATCCAAAGGGCCGGCCGATGGCGGAGCAACGCTGACCTCTGATACATCCGTCTGTCAGAATCGGACATGGAGCCAATCGCGAAGGCACTGGTGACCGCGTGAGTACATGCACCGCCTTCCTAGCACTATCAGCTTCCTGAGTGACGGCACTGCCCTCTTGACACTATCTGCTGTATGAGTGACAGCACTTCCCCCTAACACTACTCGCTATAGGTCGTGGTGACCACACTGCCCCCATAAGCACTGCTGGCAGCAGGAGCGTCTGCACTGCCCTCCTTGCATTCCTCTCTGCACGAGTGCTCTTGCTCTCCCGTGCTGCTCTCTGCATAGTTGATGGCACCTGCCCTCTTGACACTAACTGTTGTAGACTCAAAGTTATGTCCTTGAACATCGCTGTACACTTTCATGTAGTTTCCATGTTAAGGTCAGCTAGATTGGGCTCACGCCTCCCCCAGCAATTTCATTTTTCGGTGGCATTCAAATGGAGTGGGTGGCTGCAAAGCACCCCGTAAGCCTTTGAGCTGACACCCAACTCTAAGTTACCAGCCCCTCTGCATTCGCACTACCATGCAGATGTTCGGGTGTAAGCGTAACCCCGTTAGCAGCCTACTTACGCATCTGTTCTACCATGTGGAAGTGCGGTGTAAGCCTAACCTTGTTAGCGGTCCCCTCCACATTCGTGCTATCATGTGGTGGCCTGGGTGTAAGCCTAACCACATTTCCCCACATGAATTCCAGTCTAGCCTAAACCTTGTCTTCTATATTGTGTGTGCAATGGGATGTTAACCCTTGTTTAAAGAGCCACAGGTAGCCCTTGGCAGATCATGCTGGCATAATCTTCGGAGTTTGCCTAAAAATGATGCCCTGCAATAAATGGACTTTTGAGACTAGAGAGTTAGCATAACCTTAAAATGCTGGCCAAAGATTTTTCCTCCATGCATATTTAGGCATGTTAAAGGAAATAACCTGATGAAACTAGGCCAGCAGTGAAAGGGTTGATGGGGTGTTGCCCGCGCTTATTTCCAGCTACTCAGGGCCGTCCCTCGGCCGCAGACTCTTGTAGAAGCTTGGCTCCGCCAACTTTCTGTTCTGGCAGTGTCAACCCGGCTGACCCTGAATCCTCTCTCGTACATACTTGGCTCCACCAACATTCTGCTTCGGCCGTGTCTACGCATTTCTCTCCGTAGCCTCTCCCTCCGATGGCCAGCACTCCCCGTACCGCAAGTTGCTGCGTGTTGTAGTTAATGTGTGTGTATGTGTGTATGTGTGTGTGTGTTTGTGTGTGTGTGTTTATGTGTGTGTTTTTGGATGTGTGTGTGTGTGTGTGTGTGTGTGTGTGTGTGTGTGTGTGTGTGTGTGTGTGTGTGTGTGTGTGTGTGTGTGTGTGTGTGTGTGTGTGTGTGTGTGTGTGTGTGTGTGTGTGTGTGTGTGTGTGTGTGTGTGTGTGTGTGTGTGTGTGTGTGTGTGTGTGTGTGTGTGTGTGTGTGTGTGTGTGTGTGTGTGTGTGTGTGTGTGTGTGTGTGTGTGTGTGTGTGTGTGTGTGTGTGTGTGTGTGTGTGTGTGTGTGTGTGTGTGTGTGTGTGTGTGTGTGTGTGTGTGTGTGTGTGTGTGTGTGTGTGTGTGTGTGTGTGTGTGTGTGTGTGTGTGTGTGTGTGTGTGTGTGTGTGTGTGTGTGTGTGTGTGTGTGTGTGTGTGTGTGTGTGTGTGTGTGTGTGTGTGTGTGTGTGTGTGTGTGTGTGTGTGTGTGTGTGTGTGTGTGTGTGTGTGTGTGTGTGTGTGTGTGTGTGTGTGTGTGTGTGTGTGTGTGTGTGTGTGTGTGTGTGTGTGTGTGTGTGTGTGTGTGTGTGTGTGTGTGTGTGTGTGTGTGTGTGTGTGTGTGTGTGTGTGTGTGTGTGTGTGTGTGTGTGTGTGTGTGTGTGTGTGTGTGTGTGTGTGTGTGTGTGTGTGTGTGTGTGTGTGTGTGTGTGTGTGTGTGTGTGTGTGTGTGTGTGTGTGTGTGTGTGTGTGTGTGTGTGTGTGTGTGTGTGTGTGTGTGTGTGTGTGTGTGTGTGTGTGTGTGTGTGTGTGTGTGTGTGTGTGTGTGTGTGTGTGTGTGTGTGTGTGTGTGTGTGTGTGTGTGTGTGTGTGTGTGTGTGTGTGTGTGTGTGTGTGTGTGTGTGTGTGTGTGTGTGTGTGTGTGTGTGTGTGTGTGTGTGTGTGTGTGTGTGTGTGTGTGTGTGTGTGTGTGTGTGTGTGTGTGTGTGTGTGTGTGTGTGTGTGTGTGTGTGTGTGTGTGTGTGTGTGTGTGTGTGTGTGTGTGTGTGTGTGTGTGTGTGTGTGTGTGTGTGTGTGTGTGTGTGTGTGTGTGTGTGTGTGTGTGTGTGTGTGTGTGTGTGTGTGTGTGTGTGTGTGTGTGTGTGCATGCATGCATGAGTGTTTTGTGTTTTTTTTTTTTTTTTTTTTTTTTTACAAAGACCACTTAATGCCAAACATGAGATGCAGCTAGGGGAAGCACGCACAACCTGAATCGTGGCAGTGGTGGTGAGGTTTAGGGAGCTCCGCCGACCTAGGGTCTCGACATCATAGCCACCTAGACGCACCAAGAGTTGTGCATGCATGTGTGCGTGTGCATCAACATGTGTGTGGCTGTGGGTATGTGTGTACATGTCTTGTCTTTAATTTTGCTGCTACTTCCAGGGTGGTAACACACCATTACATGATGCAGCACGGAAAGGTCATGTTTCCGTAGTAGAATGTCTTCTCACTTCCGGACATTCGTTGGAACGAAAGAATAATGTAAGTCAGATTATCCATGATGCATGCTCGTTTTTATGAGCAGAAAGAAGAATTACGCAGGTAAATACTTTTTTTGCGAGTAAACTTCCGTGCCTTCTCTTCATGTTGTGACACACCTTCTCCCGTACATTGTCTCCTTCCGCATCAACAAGGTATTATAGCGGCACAAGCAAATGAGAGCACGAACAATGACGTATGTATATGCATGATGTATATTGGTCACGTATTAATCATCGTTGTTTTTAGCTATTCTGCTTTGACCCGGTTTTGTCACTACATTGCTGATCATAATTCATTGTGAAAATAGCGTAGGACAAAATGTTCCGAGTTATGACCAACTGTCCGCCAACGTAACCAGACCTTATACAGTCAGCGAGTGTGACAATTTTTTATTTTATTTACAATGAACACAGCTCACAGGCAAAGGCAAAAAATTGAATAGTGGGCTTGCACACGGTCGAGTCTTGCAAGATGGGATCGGGCTTCTTAAATCCAGATGATGGGGCAGTACTCCATCACTGGGCGCACAAAAGCATTGTAAGCTTGGATGCAACCGGGCGCCTCTAAAAGGTGGAAAGCCTAACACAAAACGCCGAGTCGCTGTGTTGCCGGGAGGGCTACGGTACAAAGGTGGCGCCGGAAGGTAAGCTGACCATCAAAACTGACGCCCAAGATTTTGAGCTCCACTTGTTCCCTCAGGTTAGATCCGTTGAAATCAATCTGTGGCATGTTCCATTGGGTGCGGTGGACGCTGACAGTCAGTGCTTGGGATTTGGCTTGTTCAAATATCTATCTTCCATTCTTGACCCCAGAGGGAGATGGTGTTGACTGCTAGCTGGAAAACTTGGGTGGTATCTTGTTGGATGGTGGGGGTAATGTTGGCATGCAGTGTAGTGTCGTCTGCGAATGAGGCTAGGTCAGCACCGGCTGGTAGGTGGTCCTTGCAGTCGTTCACGTATATGAGGAAGAGATTCGGACCAAGAATACTGCCCTGGGGGACTCCAGCCTGAATTGGGAGCCTTGAGGATGTCTGGCCACAAATGACCATTTGATGGTAGCATTCACTGAGGTAGCTGCTGAGCCACTGGTGCAGTTGCCCACGTAGGCTGTAAACGTTGGACTTGTGTAGCACACCGGGGTGTGATACGCGATCAAACGCGCCGGCTTTGTCAATGGCGAGTATGCGTGCTGCGTCTTTCTCCCTGGCTGTATGCAGCCACCGATGGTGGAGGCTGGAAAGGAGGTCGGCTACACGATGGCCATGGCGAAATCCAAACTGTCTTGTGGAGAAGACGTTGCTCGACTCGAGGAAATTAGTTATTGTTCTGTTGATAATTGCTGCTCGGGCTCCAAGCTGGCGGTGACGACATTCACCTTCACTGGTAGCGACTCTTCTTCGGTGCACTCTACTGTTGGTCATATTGGCCAGGCGGGACCATGCTGCCAGCTCGATTGATGCAGCTCCTTCAGTGTCGCACCACGACTTGCCAGGTCGGGCGGGTTGTCGCTGCCTGGACAGTGATGCCACTCCATTCCGAGGCCGTTGGATACGTCCTGGATTTCGCTGACCCGGTTGGCGACGTACGTTAGCCAGCGATGGGGTTGGCCGGCGGTCCACTGTAGCATCGTCATCGAATCCAACCAAGCGTGCGTCTCCTTGATAGGCAGGCGCACTTCTCCTGCGACGAACTGCAGCTAGCGACTGCCGACAAATGCTGCCTGCAGCTCCATCAGTGCCAAGGTCTGCTGCTTCATCGGAGCAACCTTGGCTTTGCTGAAGATCAGCTCGCTGACTCTGGGCCACATGGCGTAGATACAGCAGCCGAACCCGCTCTCAGAGGCGTCGACAAACAGATGTATCACTGCTTCGGTGCTGCAGCTGAGGTAGCGCGGCAGTGGCTGGTGCTGCAGAGCTGTCCTCTCTCCCCACCATCGCCAGATCAACACCTGCATGCTTGCAGCCACCTGGTCATCCCACGCGACAGCCTCCTGCCATAGCTCCTTGAGGAACAGCTCTCCCTGCAGGACGTACGGCGACGCGAACCCGAGAGGGTCGTACAGGCTGGCTACGCAGTGCAGCAGCTGGCGCTTTGTCGTCGGATCGTCACAGTCTGGAGGCACCGGAATGCGAAGCGAATCCTCTTCGCCATTCCAGCAGAGACCGAGCACCTTGCCGCTCGACTGCACCTCGTCATCTGCAAGCGAAACATTGCACTTCCACTTCCGCAGATCCATGCCCGCTGTCTCCAGGCACGCGGTGCCGATCTTCTTGAACTGGCGTGCCGCGTCATTCGTTTGCACGCTGGCGATGCAGTCATCGACGTACAGACTGTCGCGCAACCGGCCAAAGACGTCTGCCTCGGTCGGCGTGGCATGCTCCAGCGTGAACTCCAGGTGCGTCCGCAGCACTGCTGTGAGCAGCAACGGTGAACAATTCACCCCGAACGGCACCCTCGCCAGTCGCCAGACCTGCATCTTGCCTGACGCATCGCTCCACAGAAATCGGAGATAGCGCCGGTCGGCCTCCTTCATACCGATCATATCGAAGGCCTTCCTGATGTCGGTTTGCACGGCGACCGGCTGTTCCCGGAACGGAATCAGCAAGCCTGCCAAGCTCGGTAGTAACGACGGGCCCGGGTCCAGCAGAGCGTTCAACGACTCGCAGCCGGCCTGTGACGCGGACGCATTGAAAACGACGCGCGTCTTCGTCGTCGTGGATTCGGCCTTGAATACTGCATGATGCGGCATGTAGTATCCCGCCGTCGACGGGTCCGGCTCAAGCTCGATCGCGCCTAGCTCACCGTACTCGCACAGAAGGACGTCGTCATACAGCGCCCGCCGGCCGTTGCGGTCGAGCCTTGCCATAAGTCGCAACGCCGTTGCCATGGTCTGCGCATAGTTGTCGGCTGGACGCTCCGCCGACTTCCAGAGCAGGCCGACCTCGTAGTGCTGTTCCTTCCGATCTCCACAGAGAACTGTTCACTCTTGTGCATGGTGTCTGCAGTGAACTGACCCTTGATGGATAGAGGTGCACCAGATGGACCAAGGAGTTTGGTACTGGATGGTGTGAGTACAGGGCATTGTTCGAGATTCTGTTAGTGGAGTGCATGATACACGATACATCAGCACCTGTGTCGATCTTGAATATCAAATTTGTCGAGCAAACAGGCCGACTTACTGACCAGGTCAGTTGACTGGGAAGGACTGGTGTTGGATGACAGCTCTACCACAACACCCATGAGTGGCGACGGGGATGCAAGGATTCATTTCCGACAGCTCTGGCACCACGCGTGGTTGCTGGAGTGGAAAGACAGACGGCGGCGAAGTGGCCCTTCTTTCCGCATGAATTACACTTGCGACCAGATGCAGGACACGCAGAACGGTTGCTCTTGTGCGAACCAGCGTGGCCACACCACGGACTTGTTGAAGATGTAGTGCCGCTCTTCCTCTGCATGGACGGCGTTAAGGCAGGCTTCGATGGAATGTCACTGCGCTGGAGACGACTCCTTGCATCTTGCTGCTTTCCTCCAAAGTGGGATGCAGCATTGACTTGCGGCCTGGTGGCTTGTGCTGCAACGTCTCCGGAGATTTTCTTGGCCTGCTTGGCCCTGAGAACTGCATCCGTGAGGGTGAGTTTTGTGGGCTCAATCTGCTGCAGCTCCTTGGCGACTTGACGATCCAGAAGGTGAGCCACGAGGCGATCTCGAATTCTGTTGTCCTTCTGGTCACCGAAGTCACAGAATTTCGCTACGGCGTGAAGTTTCCGAACAAATTCTTTCACGGACTCTCCTGGAAGATAGACGCACTGTTGGAAAATGGTCCTCTGGTGAAACACGTTCAGTGCTGGCGTAAAGTAAGCGTCCAGCTTCGTCATGACCTTGTCATGCTTGTCCTCGTCTCCAAAGGCGTCAAATACCAGTTGATCGAGGACAGTTTCGGCCTCTGGGGCCAGCCAGTAAAGCAACGTAGAGATTTGTGCTTTCTCGTCTTTCGCGTTGAGCTCTGAGGCGAGGCAATATCCCACAAACCTGCGTTTCAAAGCCGGCAAGGCATCTGGAATGGAGAAATCAAAGTCTGCAGGCGGCGCGAGCTTGGCCATTTCTACTCGAAGTGTAGACCTGGTTGACTAACTTCTGACACCATGTTGTGCCATGCACTGACATAAGGAAGTGGTTTATTTTACAGACAGATGAGTGTAGATAATCATAGTGAAGAGTCAGGGAGGCCATGCCCAGCAGAGCATGGAATCGTGCGTAGCACGGGGGTAGTGTGAGGTCACGTACCGTCTATACATGGCGACAGGCAGGGGAAGGACTATGTCGTGAATGGGTGAAAGGATAACATGATACAGGATAGGACACAAACCAAATGTACAAGCATGAGGAATAAGAAACATGCATGACGAATATAGAAAAGGGAAATTAAAGTTGCTGATGCGATTTCATGATAAGTATTAAATTATATGCCCAAGGTTCGAGTCTAGAGTCGTACTGCCACAGTATTCCCACCCAGAGAACGAGTGCGGGAACAATCAAGGGAATGATAAGAAATCAAAAAATACAGGAAAGAAGTACAGTATGAAAAACTAGTAGCGGAAAGCGGATGATGCCCAGCGCAGCAAGTCAATCAAGCAAATGCGCAGGCTTAACACGATCAACAGAGACAGTCTGGTCCATACCATTGATACGCTGAGTGAAGTACTTGGGAGTGCGCTTGACCACGGGGAAAGGACCATCATACGGCGGTTGGAGTGGTAGCCGAACTGCGTCACGGCGCAAATACACTTCAGCGGCTGTGTCCAAATCGCGGGGCAGATAGACAGGATTCATGCTAGTACGGACGGGAAGAGGACGGATCTGCCGCAGGAAGGTAGACAGATGAGATGCGTAATCACTGCGGTCGCTGGCAGGAGTCAGGGAACTAGATGGGAAGAATTCACCAGGAAGGCGCAGCGTTGTACCGTAGACCAGTTCTGACGTTGAACAGTTGCTATCAGGCTTT